GGAGGACGGCCGCAGGAGGGGCCGCCAGGAGAGGGGCGAGGGCGGCGGCCGCGGGCGCAGGCGACGGCTGGGCGCGGGATTTGCTATCGGGGGCTGGGGTTGAAAAAAGGGAAAGTCGGAGGGCGGCCGACGAGGCCTACACTACCTCCCGCAGTGGCCGTGGCAGTGGCCCGTGGCCGAGTCGGGGATCGGCTGCAGAATTGGGTTGTCCCAGGATGGAGACGTTCGTCGAATCTGCGAGGATTGCGCAGAGAGTCTTCGCAGATCTGCGGGCATTCTGCGCATCTTTTGTGTAGATTTGACGACAAGGCAAGTCTGGGGCAACTCAATTCTGCGGTCGATCTCCCACTCGATGTGGGGGAACGCGCTTTACTTTGGGTAATCCGAGCATGGCTTTTGACGGTCCAGTTGTCGTGAGATGTTTGCAGCGGGAGGTCGCGTCAGGTTCAGACCAGGCCCCGCCGTTGTTGTCCAGCATGCTCGAGCCCTCCCAACACTCGAGCCTTACTCAGAGGAGCAAGAGGACATGACTTATACGTTTCAAGATTCCTCACACAGTTTCCCAGATTTCCACAGAGTCCGTATTGTTCCTTGCGGGCTCCAGAAACGAGGGCCGCTAGATATTAATGGAAATCTTGAGAGGTATCCTGAGCCAATCTTATCATGACATCGTGCTTGTTCTACTTATGTCTCTTTGCTAAAGGGGGTTCTGTCCACCCCTTCCCTCCCCTCTGGGGCAACGCCAGGGAGGGAATAGGCTCAGGGGGGTGCATCGACCCCAAATCGCCCATTCATCGCCGATGGGGTCTGATAGTCCTCCTCGCTCAAGTCCGTGCGGATTCGCCACCATCAGGGGCCTATCGCCAGTCGATCAATCGGCGATGTATCTCCGATGCCAGCACGATAATCCCCCTCTGAGCCAGTCCCCTCCAGCGTCCCCCCTCAGAAGGGGCTCGAGATGCACACGCCGTTAGGTCGGCCAGGGAGCCATCCGCTTTGGTAAGGGATTCCGGTGTGCATCCGTAGGAGAAGCAGAGACCCACGCCACCGAGAACCCAGGGCGAGGGGATGGCGATGGTTTCTGTCCCCACCCGAACCTTGCCCCTCCCCTCCCCGAACCCCCCCCATCCCCTCCCCTTCCCCCCCCCTCCCCTCCCCCCTCCCCCCCCTCTCCCCTCCCTTCCCCTCCCCCCCGAACCTTCCCCTCCCCCCCCCTCCCCCCCCTCCCTCCCCCCCCCCCGAACCCTGCCCCGCCCCCCCCCCCTCTCGAGGGGCGGACGGCTCCCCGCCCCCCTTCCTCTCCCGCGCGGCCCTCGCCCCCTGCGCCCTCCGCGGCGGCGCCGTGGCCCTGCCCCGTCGCGGCAGGCGCCGCGGCGGGAGGCCTGCCGCAGTCGTCCCAGACCTCCCTCGGGTCACGACAGGATCAGGGCTTATGATGTCCCAGCCTACCTGGGCCCGAACCACCAGAAAGAATCTCGAGCACCGAGGGAGCACCGAAACTCGAAGGTTTCCACGTGTCGGGCCCTGGGAGACACTCGTTCGACACTTTTCCAACACTGTTTCGACACGGTTTCGACGCTTTTCCGGGTGCTCGAAATCATTGATGGGATGTGGTCCTTCAGTGCGATAGGAGCAACATAAATCAGGGCGCAAGGTTTTTTTCTGCTACTCTCGGCCTCTGGGAGGCCCTATCACCGGCCCTCGGGACTGTCAGAGGACGACTCAGGACGAAGAGCCGGTCCCGGGGAAGGGGTCGAGACCTGCGGGGGGTCGGCGTGATGGACAGATCATGACGCTGGGGGTCTGGGTTCAGTGTCTGGGGGCCGACGCTGGGCCTGGGACCGTCAAGAAACTGCTCGGGATGTAAATAACTCTGGGCCTCCCAGGTGGGGTCCGAGCAGGTGGGGTCGGAGGATCGCGCCGCATCGCCGATGCATCGCTGATGCGGCTCGATGCGGAGCCTGATTTTCGTTTGGGGGAAGGATACCCACCCATACCTCTACCCCCTCGCCCGTTTTACTCTTTTTGGGCCTCCTGGGAGGCCCTCGTCGCCACCGCTGGATTCCCCTCGAAATCCTGGTCTGAATGCACCCCGGGAGAGGTCCGGGGGGTAGCAGTATCGGTGCCTTTGGTGGTTTCCCCAGATCTGCTCCTCGCTGGCGTCGCCGATGCATCGCTGAGCTGCGCATCGGCGATGCATCGCCGACGTTCCTCGCCTTCCGCGGCGGCGTTGGGTCCACGCCCCCCTTCGCCCCTGCGCGCGCTCCTCGCCCTCCCCGCCCTCCTCCTGCGCCGCTCCGCCCCCGGCGGGCCTCCCCCCTCGGAGGCGTCCCGGCGAGCGCCCTCGCCGCCACGGCCTGGACCTTCCCTGGCACTTCTGGCTAGAGCGTAGCCCGGCAGAGGTCCTCGGCATCGCCCTCGTCCTCGTCCTCGTCCTCGTCGTCCTCGTCGTCCTCCTCCTCCTCCTCCTTCTCCTCCTTCTCCTCCTCCTCCTCGTCCCCCTCCAGACTCGGTTGACTTTTATCCCGCCACCGCATGCCCCGCCCCTCCCTCCCCGCTGTGTCCCCACGAGATCCCTCCGCCACCCACGGGGCCCGAGGCTCGCGCGGGGGGGCCTGCGGCCTCTGCTCGACCCAGGCCGACTCCTGCGACTCCGGCTCGACTCGGGCTCGGTTCGGGCTCGGCTGGAGTTGGGCGCACGTCGACGGACCTTCGACGCAGCATCGGCGCACGAGTGGTGACCGAGTGGCTCCTTCGGAAGGTCCCCAGAGCGAGCATCTGCACCGGGCCCCGAGCCCTCCCCCGCAGCTGCGTTTCCCCTCTGCCCTGCAGGCGTGATGGGGAGGAGGCTGGCGGCGGTGGCCGAGACGGCAAGAGCCAGGACAGCCCGGCTCTGTGGCGCTCGCCGCCGCCGCCGGCCGTTCCCTGCTGCTGCCGACGGCGATTCTGATCCGCGATCTTCGGTGCTCGATCCTCGGTCCTCGATCTTGGGTCCTCGATCCTCGGTCCTCGATCCTCGATCCTCGATCCTTGTTCCTCGATCCTTGATCTTCGATCCCGATGCCTCTGCTGGTGCCGCTGCTGCCGCGGCTCGTGCTGCGGCTTTTTGCCACCGCTTCTCCTTCATCCTCATCTTCCTACTCCTGTCGCGCATCGTGAGCACTGTGCTCTCTGGCGTAGCCTGCCTCATGCAGACCGTGCTTCGGGGCGTGCTCGAGCACTGATCTAGAGAGCATCTTTGACACCATGAACATCTGAACAGTTCTTCCCTGATAGATCTTAGAAGGCAAGCCAGCCCGCCTCCTACCTCCTCCCTTTCCTCCTCCTCCTCCGCCGCTCTTCGTCTGGAACCCTCGTCGTCGGTCTAGAGCGCAATGCTGCAGGCCTTTCGTATCCGAAGGCTCAGTCCTGCCAGCTTTGGAATTCGGTCAATCGGCAGGGGCCTCGGCAAGCGCCCGACCTGGGCTTCGATTGCGTACCAGGTGGTTGAGTTTTCATATTCCGAGAATGTGCATTCCTGCGCCATCTTGTCGAGAGGTTGAGAGGTTGAGTTCCATATTACCGCACTCCCAGTCGCCCTACAAAGTTGTGCCCGACAAAGGCAAGATGTCCACGAGTCTGAGCACTACAAAGCAGCGAACTGCGGGTGTCAGGTTCGTGGGATCAATGTTATAGAGGCTCGTGATCAAATCGGCGGCGCCTGAAAATAACTAGCTGAGTCCCGAAGCCCCACAAGGCCCAATGATTTGCGTTCGCGTTTGCTTGGACACCTCGTTGGGAGCCCATTGAGCCCGGCTTTCTAAGATCCACGACTGGGTATTGGAGCCCACCGTAGACCCAGATTGATTTCAGATATCCTCTAGGAGTCACGACCATCGTTTTGAAATGCACCATTGTGCTGACATCATCCATAATGGCGATGACGACGGAGACGGTAATGGTGGTGATGACGATGACAGGTGCGATGACGAAGCCGAATACGATGATGTTGATGACGACGACGATTTTAGCGATGCTGCTGCTGCTGATGGTGATGATGGTGCTGATGATGATGCTGATGATGATGACGACGATGATGGTGATGATGATGATGATGAGGATGAGGATGACGGTGACGATTATGATGCTGATGCTGATGCTGATGATGATGATCTCGGTGATGATGATGGCGACGGCGATAGCGATGGCGATTGCGATGCCGATGCTGATGCTGCTGTTGACGATGACGATGATGATGCTGATGATGATTATGATGCTGCTGCTGCTGATTATGATGATGATGATGATGATGATGATGATGATGATGATGATGCTGATGATTGTGGTGATGATGATGATGACGATGATGATGATGATGATGGTGCTGGTGCTGATGATGATGATGATTATGCTTCATGGTGATTTCGACGACGACGATAACGACGATGCCGATGCTGATGGTTGTGATGATGATGGTGGTGGTGATGATGATAATGATACTGACGCTGATGCAGCTGATCATGATGACGACGATTACCATGATGATGACAATGATGTCGATGATGATATGATGATCAATGAGACGATGCCGATGACGATGATGCTGATGCTGATCATAATGCTGCTGATGATTATGATGATGACGATGACGATGAGGATGATTCTGACGACGATTATGACAATGACGACGATGACGACGATTCTGATGATGATGGTGGTGATGCTGATGGCGATGACTATGATGGTGATGATGATGCTGCTGATGGTGATGCTGATGCTGCTGATGATGATGATGAGGATGCTGATGACGACGATGGCGATGACGACTATGATAATGATAATAATGACGACGATGTTGATGATGGTGATCATGCTGATACTGATGGTGTTGATGATGATGCTGATGATGATGATGATGGTGATGACGATGATGATGGTGTTGATCATGATGGTCATGATGATTATGATGCTGACGATGATGATGTTGATGTTTATGATGATGCTGATGATGATGATGACGATCTCGATGATGATGCTGCTGCTGCTGATGATACTGATGATTATGATGATGATGGTGATGATTATGCTGATGCTGCTGATGATGCTGCTGCTGATGATGATGCTGGTGATGATGACGATGATGGTGATGATGGTGATGATGATGATGATGATGATGATGATGATGATGATGATGATGATGATGAGGAATATGATGATGATGATGATGATGATGATGATGATGATGATGATGATGATGATGATGATGATGATGATGATGATGATGATGATAATGAGGAGGATAACGATGATGCTGCTGCTGATGATGATGATGGTGATGATACTGCGGATGAAGATGAGACAGTCAATTCCGAATTACATGTTCCACCTCGCTGCTTCGTATACCGCTTTAATCTATCATCGGCCTCAAGGTTTCAAGTATGCATGGCCCAGCTTGGGACAAGGCAGCCCCCGATGGGGCGTCAGAAATGGGCCTTCTTAACTGTCGGGACCTCGCGCAGCGTTTGCCGATTCGTCCGTGGGTGCGCTGTGGGGGAGGGGATTTTCATGTGCTGCTGGACGGAGCCAATCTCGAACAATGCTGGGAGAAACGTCAGAGCAACCAGCAACCTCGGAGCAGCATCCGACGACATGCGCCACGGGATCTCGGCTGTCCGTCGCCGCATCCTCATGCACTACTCTTGGCGGACCCCCGCGTGCCAGGGGTTTGCGACATCCAATTTTGGCAACCACGCTGCCTACTCTCCCTCCTCTCCCTCGTGGCCGGTGCTTCGCACGGTGGAGTCCCCTTTCCCTCAGTAGGAAAGCTGGCAACTTTCATCATCCGCGCATTGGTTATATGGGGAAGAGGACAAAAAACTCTTTGCGGATCCCCGCCCAGCACAGCTGCTGCTCCGACTTTTGTGGTTTTCCCCCACGAGCCACGCCAAGGGGCCTCTGCTTCGAGTCTCTGGGCTGCCCCGGGCCGGACCCCCCCCCAAGCTCGTGCTATTGGCGTGCCGAGGCGCGCGGGCCAGGACGCCGTGCCTGGGAGCCACATATGTTCCTGCGCTGGCCGCGCGCTTTCGTTCCCAGCTATCCTGTGCTAAGTTGGGTCCTCGTCTTGAATGCGCATCGCCCCGCGCCCTTTCTTCCTCCCTTCCGTCCTTCCTCCTTCCCCTCCCACCTCCTCCCCCTCTCTGCATCTGTTCTCCGTGCTCTCTGCGTCGGCACACCTCTCAAACGCTTTGTGGCCCCAAAGGGAGCTCCACCGAAGGTCCCAGTCCATTCCGGCACAGCCCTCACACGATTCGTGGCCCCATAGGTGGCTGCGTTCGCATACCTTCTCCACACCATGTCGGCACAGCCCTCACATGTTTCGTGGCCCCATGGGGACTTCCACCGATGGCCCCAGAGGCTGCGTTCGCATTTCCGTGCTCGGCGCACCTCTCACACGCTTCGTCGCCCCACAGTATGCCCTACCGAAGGCCCCAGTGGCTGCGTTCACACATACCTTCTCGATCTCATGTCGGCGCACCCCTCACATGTTTCGTGGCTCCGTAGCGAGCCCCACCGAAGGCCCAAGTGGCTGCGTTCAGGTGTAGCTTCTCGACACCATGTCGGCGCACGCCTTACACGTTTCGTGACCCCATAGTGAGCTCTCCACCAAAGGCACCAGTGGCTGCGTTCACTTACCTTCTCCACACAATGTCGGCATACCCCTCACAGGCTTTCGTGGCCCCTATGGGGAGCTCTCCTTAGGCGCGTGTGGCTGCTTTGCATAACTTCTCCACACCATTTCGGCGCACCCATCACGCGTTTTGTGGCCCCATGGGGACTTCCGCCGATGGCCCCAGTTTCAGTAATCGCATGCGTGACCGCGCCAATTTCGGCACCCTCGTCACACGTTTCGTGGCCCCATGGGGAGCCCCACCGAAGGCCCCAGGGGCAGGAACCGCATGTGTGACCGCGCCCACTTCGGCTCACCATTCACACGTTTCGTGGCCCCATAGGGAGCTCCATCGAAGGCCCCAGTGGCAAGATTCGCATGCGTGGCCGCGCCCACTTCGGCGTACCCCTCGCATGTTTCGCTTATCAACTGTAACGAGTTCTATCCAAATGTGCCCCGTTGTGGCCGACCTCTGCGACCCCATTCTCAACGTCGCTGCGTCCTTCCGTAGCGCGTTTAGTCCTTTTGCTAGCCCCCTCCCTCAGCTTCCACCGGTCTTGCGGCACTCGAAGCTGCGTGTGGTTGGGTCTTTTGCCAGGCTCATTTAGTGCTTTTGTTTTTCTGTTTAGTTTTGGCGCCCCCCCACGGGGTGGCGTCCCTCCATGCGCAAGGAGGGGGGAGGAGGAGGAGGAGGAGAAGGCGGAGGGAAGGGTGCTTTGGACCTTGCTCCCGCCCTGCGTAAGGAGGAGAAGGAGGAGGAGGAGGAGGAGGAGGACGAGGAGGAGGAGGAGGAGGAGGAGGAGGAGGAGGAGGAGGAGGAGCAGGACGAGGAGGAGGAGGAGGAGGACGAGGAGGAGGAGGAGGAAGAGGACGAGGAGGAGGAGGAGGGGGGCGGGGAAGAAATGGTGGATCGCGAGGTATCGGTTACACTGTCCATCGGGCGGGGACAAGGCCGATGCGGGGAGCGCCGTGGGATCGCGACATATCGGTTCCCATGGAAGGCCCGTGCTCCTCTGGGGGGGGGGGCAGTCCCCAGAGGACGCCCCTCTGCTGCCGCCCTCTGGTAGTGGTGCGGCACAACGTGCATAAGTCTCCTTCTCCTCCTCCTCTTCCTCCTCCTCGTCGTCCTCCTCCCTTCCCATTCATCTTCGTCTCTCCCTCCTCTTCCTCCTCTCCTGCCCTCTTCGTAAATCTTTTCCGTTGGTGAGGAGCGCGGGATGGCAGCCGTGCTGCAGGACTTCGCGAACGAGGACGCCTACCCGGGGGGATGCGAGTCCAGGGAACATGGCGGGACATTTGTTTGGGACAAAGGTGGCCAAATGGAATCAGAGAAAGAGGACGGAGGGACGATGGATTATTAGGGAGGAGTTATTATGATGGTGCTGCTGATGATGATGGTGGCGATTACGAAGATGATTCGAATCGTACTGGTTTCGGCTGCGGCGATTGTATGTATGATGATGCTGATGATGGTGAGGATGAGGACGCGGGATGAGTATGCGGACGATGACGATGTTGACGATGATGATGGTGCTGCTCGTGATAACGATGATGATGCTGATGCTGCTGCTGATGATGCTGTTGATGATGATGCTGCTGCTGCTGATGATGATGATGATGGTCATTCTGATGCTGGTGCTGGTGCTGATGCTGATGATGCTGATGATGACTATGATGATGCTGCTGCTGCTGATGATTGATATGGTGATGCTGCTGTTGAGTATGCTGTTGATGATTGTGATCAGTGTACTGGTGATGTCGATGAAGACGATGACAACGATGAGGGCGACGACAGCGGCGATGCTGTTGATGATGATGCTGCTGCTGATGCTGATGTTGTTGATGATGCTGCTGTTGCTGATGATGCTTATGACGACGACGTTGATGGTGGTGGTGGTGGTGGTGATGATGTTGATGATGCTGATGGTGATTAGCAGGAGATTGATGATGATGCTGTTCCCAACCATCCAGTGGTGATGGGTCCTCGTTTTGAAGAGACAGCGCCCCGCGTCTCCTCTTCTCTCCTCCTCCTCCTCCCCCTCCTTCCTCCTCCCCCTCATTGCCTCTGCCCCCCGCAGGTTTCCGTTTCGGCATACCCAGTACAGCGTTTCGTGGCCCCATAGGGAGCCCCACCGGAGGCCCCAGTGGCAGGGTCCGCATGGCGCCGCCGCACTCATTTCGGCACACCCCTCACACGTTTCGTGGCCCCATAGGGAGCCCGACCGAAGGCCCCAGTGGCAGGGCCCGCATGGCGCCGCCGCCCCATTTCGGCACACCCCTCACACGTTCGTGGCCCCATAAGGAGCCCCACCGAAGGCCCCAGTGGCAGGGTCCGCATGGCGCCGCAGAGCCAATTCGGCACACGCTTTACACGGTTCGTGGCCCCATAGGGAGCCCCACCGATGGCCTCAGTGGCAGGGTCCGCATGGCGCCGCCGCGCCATTTCGGCACACCCCTCACACGGGTCGTGGCCCTATAGGGAGCCCCACCGAAGGCCCCAATGGCAGGGTCCGCACGGCGTCGCCGCCCCATTTCGGCCCACCCCTCACACGTTTCGTGGCTCCATAGGTCGCCCCACCGAAGGCCCCAGTGGCAGGGTCCGCATGGCGCCGCCGCCCCATTTCGGCACACCACTCACACGTTCGTGGCCCCATAGGGAGCCCCACCGGAGGCCCCAGTGGCAGGGTCCGCATGGCGCCGCCGCCCCATGTTGGTACACCCCTCACACGGTTCGTGATCCCATAGGGAGCCCCACCGAAAGCCCCAGTGGCAGGGTCCGCATGGCGTCGCCGCCCCATTTCGGCCCACCCCTCACACGTTTCGTGGCCCCATAGGAAGCCCCACCAAAGACCCCAGTGGCAGGGTCCGCATTGCGCCGCCGCCCCATTTCGGCACACCCATCACACGGTTCGTGCCCCCTCATAGGGAGCCCCACCGAAGGCCCCAGAGGCCCCATAGGGAGTTCCACCGAAGGCCCCAGTGGCAGGGTCCGCATGGCGCCGCCGCCCAATTTCGGCACACCGCTCACACGGTTCGTGGCCCCAGAGGGAGCTCCACCGAAGGCCCCAGTGGCAGGGTCCGCATGGCGCCGCCGCCCCATGTTGGCACACCCCTCACACGGGTCGTGGCTTCATAGGGAGCCCCACCGAAAGCCCCGGTGGCAGAGTCCGCATGTCCCCGCTGCCCATTTCGGCACACCACTCACACGTTCGGTGGCCCCATAGGGAGCCCCACCGGAGGCCCCAGTGCCACCGTCCAAATGTGGCCACCCCACCCACTTCGGCACACGCCTCACATGTTTCGTCGTGGCTTGTGTCCTTCGCCAGGCTAATTTTTGATGATGATGCTGATGATGATGCTGCTGCTGATGATGCTGATGATGCTGATGATGGTGATGATGATGATGATGATGGTGGTGGTGGTGGTGGTGTTGGTGATGATGAGGGCGATACTCAGGAAGGATGACGAGGGAGGAGGGGAGAGGAACACAATGGAGGAGGGGGAGGAGAAGTAGAAGGAGGAAGAGGAGGACGAACGGCGGGGATCAGGAGCATAGGGAAGGGGAGGAGTGGAGGGGTGGCTCCAGTGTGGTCGGTCGACCAGCTATCCCAAGGATGCCCACTGGTCGACCAGAGGCCCCATGATCCCACCGTGCACTGCATGATGTCCTGCCACCTCTTGCGCTCACCACTCCTCGTCGTCGTCGTCGTCGTCGTCGTCGTCGTGTTCTCAGCCTTCTTCGTGTTCCTCCTCTTCCCTCTACTCCTCCTCATCCTTCTCCCCCCCTCGCGGCTCCCCCGCTCGGCTCTCCCCTCGGTGGCCCCTCCCCTGTCTCGACTCGCTGGCGCCGCTCCTCCCGCCTCGCGGCCCCCCCGACGCTGCCGCGATCTTCGGGGCCGTCCGGGGCCGTCTTGGAGCCTCGGGGAGCCGTGTCTGGAGGCAGCCCGATCCCGCCCTGGTGATGCTCGGGTCCGGCGTCCGTTTCCAGCGGAGGTGGGGGGGGGGGAAGGAGGAGGCGGAGGAGGAGGAGGAGGCGGGAGGAGAGGGAGGATGAGGAGGAGGGGGGAGGAGGAGGGGCATGGGGGAGGAGGCTGGAGGATGAGGAGGAAGATCAGGGCGACGATGGGTTGCGATGCACAAGAAGTTCCAACTGCCACCACCCACCGCTCGCTTCTCGACCCCCCCCCGCTGACTGCCCGCCTGCCTCCGTGGCCCGGGGGAGGACCACTATACAGATCCACCTTGTTCCTCCCCCTCCCCCCCTCCAACAAGCGCGGAACTCGGTCGGAGGAGGAGGAGGAGGGGAGACGAAGAAGGAAGACAGACGACCCGCATTACGGTTCGCCTCCAATTTGCCCCCTGGCCTCCTTTCTAGCCTACTCCCTTGGCTCCTTGAAGTTTGGACGGTTGTGCATTTGACGAAACGGTTAATCACAGGCGGCAGGGGCGTCAGTGCATGCACGATCGGGGGAGGAATATGCGTAGACCCTGCCACCCGAAGCCCTCCCACCCGCCCCGTCGTGCCTAAGGCCTCCGACAAAAGATGGTTTCATGGGACGGGGGAATGGGTAGGGAAGAGGAGGAGGAGGAGGAGGAGGAGGAGGATGAGGATCAGGATCAAGAGGAGGAGGAGGAGGAGGAGGAGGAGGAGGGGAGGAGGAGGAGGAGGAGCAGGTGGAAGAGGAGGAGGTTTATCAGAACAATGATGATGCTGATGATGATGCTGCTGCTGCTGCTGCTGATGATGATGATGATGATGATGATGATGATGATGATGGCGGTGATGATGACGATGCTGATGATGATGCTGATGATGATGCTTATGATGATGCTGTGATGCTGGTGATGAGGATATCGATGGTGCTGATGATGATGACGATGGTGATGATTACGATCATGATGATGCGGAGGAGGATGGGGATGAGGATGATGATGAGGACCATGATCCTGATGATGATTATCCCAGTGCGACCCTACCTAGGAGTTGGAGCATTTAGGACAGCAACATCTACATCTGCACCGACAACTACATTTACATCTACACCTGCATCTACATCTACATCAACATCAACAGCGAGACTCACATCTACATCTACATCTACACCTACAGCTACACCTACATCAACATCTTCATCTACACCTACACCTACATCCACATCTAAACCTACACCTACATCTACATCTACATCAACACTTCCGCATTGGTTTTGCTTTTGCTTTGTATTGCCTTTGCTTTTGCTCTTGCCTTTGCTTTTGCCTTTGCCTTTGCTTTTGTTTTTGTTGTTGCTGTTGCTTTTGCTTTGATTTGGTGTGTTGCTTTTGCTTGATTGTGTTTTTGTTATGCTATGCTATGCTATGCTGCGCTATGCTATGCTATGCTATGCTATGCTGAGCTGTGCTATGCTATGCTATGCTATGCTATGCGATGCTATGCTATGCTTTGCTTGGCTATGCTATGCTATGCTATGCTGTGCTAATGCTGCGCTGCACTAAGCTAAGGTAAGCTATGCTAAGCTAAGCTAAGCTAGGCTAAGCTAGGCTAGGCTAGGCTCAGCTAAGCTAAGCTAAGCTAAGCTAAGCTAAGCTAAGCTAAGCTAAGCTAAGCTAAGCCAAGCTAAGCTAAGCTAAGCTAAGCTGCAGCTAAACGAAGCTAAGATGAAGCTAAGCAAAACTAAGCTAAGCTACAGCTAAGCGAAACTAGGATGAAGCTAAGCTAAGCTAAGCTAAGCTAAGATGAGATAAGCAACGCTAAGCTAAGTGGACGTCACTGGGGGAACCGCGGGGCGGATCCTGGGGGAACCGCCCGGGGCGAGTTCCACTGCCCGGCCCTTTAAGCATATAGACTAGGAACCCTTCTAGGCGGAGCCTAGGCAGGGAATGACAATGCTAATGATTCTTATGATGATGCTGATGATGATGAGGATGATGATGCTGGTGATGATGATGCTGATGCTGATGATGATGATGATGACTATGGTGATGATGATGCTGATGATGCTGATGATGGTGATGATGGTGCTGGTGGTGATTTTGCTGCTGCTGCGGATGATGATGATGGTGATGATGAGGATGATGACTATGATGCTGCTGATTATGAAGATGTTGATGATGACGATCATGATGCTGATGACGATGACGATGATGACAATGCTAATGATTCTTATGATGATGCTGATGATGATGAGGATGATGATGCTGGTGATGATGATGCTGATGCTGATGATGATGATGATGACTATGGTGATGATGA